AAGCCCTGTTGGCAAGCTCCTTAATGGCTCTCGCAGTGACTTCCGTATCAGTTGGATTACCTGTCAACTGATTGGGATCGGCGTTCTCTGGTGTGATAACATCTCGAGGACGCCTTCCGAAGGCCATTTCCAAAGGAGTAACTCCTCCGTAGGTAATCGAAGAGTTTCTTGCCAAACATGCTTGGCGAACGAGGTTGCCATACTTCATGGTGATTCCGTTATACTGCGGGTCACCATCCTTCAGGATCTGAAGTATGAGCTTAATCTGATGCTTCAGCAATCTTACAGCAGCTTCGGCCCTGTTGGGCCATGGTGTTCCAGGTCCTGTTGCCACAGGCTTGATATTCTGCCGATTGTAATAAGCCTCCATTTTTGGAGTCATGAATGCTTGATCTCCAACTACAACCTTTGGGTTGATCTGAAATTTTTCAAAGTAGTCATTCATAATCGACATTGTAGTATGTTCTTCTTTATCCTGGACTACTTCGGCAGTCAACAAGTTTGTTGCTCCATCATAGAGAATAAGAAATACTAAGCGACTATCCTTGCCGGGAATTGGAAGCTCACCGTGATCTACGAAGGTGAGATCACCGAAAGTCTCTGATCTTAGACCAGAAATCTTCGCTCTCGAAGGAGCTCTCACATGTTCCTGGCAGGCTGAACACTTTTTGACCAGTTGGTCATATAGCTCGTAGATCTCCTTTGGGATCTGTAAGGCTTTTGTGCGTCGCTTGAACTGATCCGTACTCATATGACGGTGCTTAAGGTGAAGCTTGTAGAGTTCTACAGGGTCCTTAAGCTTCTCATGAATCCTGCGAAGAGCAATGGGAAGAGATGGCGAAGGTTCTGCGACAATCTCTTCACCTGTTGGTGAGTCTGTGCCAGGAGCAGGGTATTCTCTTGACTCAAGTGGTCTTACCTCCGTCCCGTCATCAGCTCCTGGGACTGTAGACTTCTCTTCAACAGGAGGTTTATCCGCATATTTGCGGGTTTTCTTCAGAAGGTTTTTAAGACCCTTTGGAGTCTTTATCTTCGCAGATGGAACCTCAAGTCTTTCTTCTTCTGGAGGTTCATGCGGTGCAGAGGATTTTGCAGGTTTGTCTCTAGAGCCTGATGATGGTTCCGATGGTCCGGAAGGCTCAGGAACATCTCCAGATGATTCTGGTGGATCAAGTCGTTTGGCAGATGATTCTGCCGGATCAGATGGAAGAGGCTTCCTTTTCCCTGAAATCCTCTTCGGTGGTGGATCAGCTGCTCCCTCAGGTGCTCTGTCACAACCCTTGAGGTACGTGTGAGCCTTTTTCTGTCCGGCACAGGCTGGACAGCGACCTTCCGGTATCCTAACATAAGGCTTATTGGCTCCTAGAGCAGTCTCCGTCGCACGGAACGATGTACCTGACTTAGGAAGGTACTTCCTGGTGGAAGTAAAGCCTAGAAGGTCCAATACCAAATGGTTATTGGTACTAATCGGAAGAGGGGTTTTATACAAACCGAAAGCTTCACACGTTGCTAGGTCAGCTGTGGGACTACACTCGAGAGTCATTCTTAGGTTTCTCATCTGTTCAATGGAGAACAAGATGGGGACTCTTCCCTGATCCAAAACTTCTATGGTTGTATCTCTCCTTGGAGTTGTGTTAAACCATAGAGTTACACGCTCCTTGATAAGAGCTGTTTCACTATCTGCGAAAGAGAACTTCGTGTTCGAAGGTGAAAAGTGAAATCAATCATGCCTGGGGCATGTTGCTTCACGGCCTTGATAAGCCTGTTCACCGCATAGCGGGAACCCATAGCCCTAGTACAACCAGAGTCAAGAATGACAAAGGTAGGGCTCTTATCAAGATTGATCCGCTCGGTGAGAGCAGATAGGACGGTGTGCTGCAACGGAAACACTGCTGTTGCAGTCTCCACACCTTGCCCCTCGGATGGTTCAAAAACCTGGGGCGCGTAACTCACTGATGAGTTGTACACGGGTTCTTGGTGCGCGCTCGGATCTGTGCCTCTACCTGATGATCCTGCTTGATTTCTTCTCTTCTTTTTCCGTGTCTTTCTTCGTGAGGCTTGTGATGCATAGTATGTATAAGACGTTTGATCGTCATAAGCGGCATAATTCCAACTGGAGTCAGTATAATAACTGTCCTCATACCATGAATCCCAGCTCGGTGCGGTGGAACTTTCATAGGCCTGTGGAGATCCAGTTTGGTCTCCTTGTAAGGAGGCAGACTTAGCTGTATCCTTACCTTTGCCTTTTGATTTTGTACCCTTGAAGGAGCTTCCTTTATCTCCTTTGTCCTTTCCTTTTCCTTTGCCTTTTCCACCTTTTCCTTTTTCTTTTCCTTTACCTTTACCGAAATAGCTGGAATCAGTTGGATCATGTTCTGCCTGGTTGGCTCTCCCTTTTCCGCGGTATGACCTAAAACGGCCACGTCCTTTTCGCTTGCCACCCTTTGCTCTTCCCGGTGATCCGGGACGCATTCTTGGTCTTCTTCCCTTTTTGAATCTCCTTGCAACGAAGGCTTCATGGTCGTCAACTGTCCAGAAGACAGCTTCTTCATCCTCGGCGGCAAGAAAGCCTTCCTCAAGGGTGTCTTCGTCTTGGAGCCAGAATCCATCGACTCCGTCGTATTCACCCTGATCGAGGATGAGGAAGTTTCGACCTCCGCGTTTGCGGCGTTGATCTCTCCTTCCATGGCGGTCCTTCTTGTGAGAAGTGTGCCGAATATTGGGATCCTGCAGACCAGTTCTGGTCGTTGAGAACTGATCGAACATGGTCTGCCGTACTATAGGGTACGTGTAGGTCTCAATTCGGTAACCTTGGTTGGTCAATGCTGTTACCAACCTCTCACGTTGCATCTCATTTAGGTCGGACTGCACTAGGAAGAGGAGAGCTAGGAGATTATCATTTAGAGGAAACGCTCTTCGATGATTATCAAGGCGTTCCTTGTTCCATGTTTCGAAGAAACGTGCGGCGTATGTGTCTCTCTCGGTTGCATCCTGTAGGCGCATGAAGGTTTGATCTGCTTGCACAGCCTGCATGAAATCAGGATGGGCATCTTCCAGAATTATCTCTGGTAAGAGATCCATCCATGAGTTTCTCACGCGCTGTAGCACGATCTCAAACTTAGCAATCCAAGTCACAAAGTCTTGGTTGCCCTTCCATGCCTTGAATAGGCCGAGAAAACGCCACAGGAAAACGTACTGTTCTCCTTTCACGAAAAATGGACGCATCTTCTTCTTGAAGTAATCTACTCCGTCTGGGGCTGCAAGCCTTTCTCTGTTGAGTGATTCTTTTTGTACTGCGGCCAATCCGGAGAGCCTCGTCTTGAGAGACGGACCTCTTTTGGTATCATCCAGCGTTGTTATATCGCACCAGTCGTCAATCAACTGTTCATACTCAAACCACGAGGTGGTGCCATCATAGGCAGGCGCGATCTTGGGCGTTATGCCTAATGATGCAAGCATGCGGTCAGATGTTGCATATGACTGTGCGACATAAGTAGCTGGACCTTGGGAGGTCTCTTCGTTCTCATATCCCCCGGAGGACTGGGAACTGCCGTCGGCTTCGCTATGCGAGCTCGACATTGTGCTGCCTCTTGTCCGCTTGGTTAAGCGTTCGGCGAGGCCGACCGCTGTAGCGGACTTTGTGAGGCGGGCGGCCCTTTCCGGGCTCCGCTACCAGAAAACTGTGCCGATACACCCCCAAGGGATACTCCTTGTAAGGAGGTGTATGACCAGTTTATTCCCTAAGGATCAAAGGGCAGCGCCCTGCACACGGACAGTAGTTGTTTTGTCTTGCTACGCAAGGAGAGCTTGTCTTGTCTCAATATGGTAAAACCACTTGAGCCAATGGGCAGCGGAATGTATATGTATGAGCATGCAGCCATTGCTGTAGGTACCTGTTAGAGCTACCCCTTTAGAGGTTTATGGTTTCACCCCCCCCCCCTCCCCCCCCCCCCCCTCCCCCCCCCCCCCTCCCCCCCCAAAGGTCAATGGTCCGGATATACGGTGGGGCCCCCCCCTCCCCTGTGGTGTGGGGTGTGGGTTCCCCCTGTGGGGTGGTTGTGGGGTTTTGGGGTTTAGGGTTTAGCTTATGCTTTTGAGTTTTGGGTTTACTGTTATAAGGTATAAGGCTTCGAGTCGACAAGGGCTTAGGGAGGATTTGCGGTGTATGCTCTGCTTTAGGCTTAGAGCCTGCAGTTAGGTGGGGTTTAGGTTGGGTGCAGCGTTTTCAATACAAGTTAAGGTTGCTCAAAACAGGGGCACGCGCTGCGTTATAGGGTTTACGGCTTGCTTGCGAAGGGCTTGCGCGTGAGCCCTGGCCACCAGCACCACCCCACCATCCAGCGGCAGCTCCAACAGGCCCCAACCCCTTTCCGCACACGCCAGGCCCCCCCCCCCCCACCCCTGTCAGACCATACCATTGGGGGGGGGGGGGCTGGGAAGGCCAGACGCCTGACCATATATGGCTTCACCATGTTGTTTAGATGCGGAGCTCGAAGCTTTAGCGTTAGCCTAAACACCAACTCTGCTTGCGGTTTTCAACTTCGGGGTCTCTTGAAAGACTTCGGGTGAGATGGTTAATATAGGGGCCTTAATAATTAAAATAAGGTTTTGGTGCCATTATACTTTATTTATGATAAGGAACCCCCACAATAGTATAGGTAGTTATTGAGGCCCCTATATTGGGGTCCCGAGTCTGGTGGTTGCGGCGGCCACCGGGCAGTCAGGGCTTCTAGGCTTGGTGGCTTGGGGTTGACAGAACTGTCACGATCTGAAAACTGCCAAGCAAAACACGAGCCATAAAGCAGCCGTTTGGAGCTTAAGGCCTCGGGGGCATTCACAAGTCGTAAGCCTGCGTGCCAAAAGCGCTGAACTATCAACCCAAATCCACGACTCGACACGCGAACTCCTAAAGCAAGATCAGACCACTGTGAGAGATTTCAATCCCCCCCCCGCCCCCCCGTTCCACCTTTCACCTTACCTGCGGATCGACGGGACCTCTTCTAGAGTCTGGTCCTTCTCCAAGCCTTGAAGTCGGAAGAGGCCCCCAGCATGTTCAAGTCGAGCTGCTTGCCCGTGGGGCCGGTACCTATCTCCAGGACCTGGCGTGAAGTTTCGGTTGCATTAGATCCTAGAACTCGGGCTCTTAAGCAACAGGCTTTCAGCTTCGAGTCCCAGATTTAGTGCCTAACATCTGACTTCCCAATATTCCTAGTATCGGCGGTTGGGTGGCTCGGGCTCGTTCCCGGAAAGAAGTTCGAAGCAGTCTCTTTTGCTTTGCTGCTGCGGTCACTGGCTCCGTAACACCTGACCGTTCACCAAAAGCCGTCGACACCCACTCATAAACAGCTGCAACAGGGGCCCAGTAATATTTCGATGCCAGGTATTGGGTGAAGCTCTGAGCTTAACAGCTGTGCATCCGTGTCAGTTCTCGCTGAACTCAGAGCTCGGAATATGCGCTTTCACGGCTCCCTAGGCCCTGCAAGGCCTTCACCCCCAACCACTGAACACGCCAACCCTGAGCTTTATGTCCGAAGCCCGACAGGCCTAACCCCAAGAGCTAAATAGGAGATCAAGGACCTCCAAAGGTGGGCTGAAGGCAACTTTGATTTTCGGATCCTTACTATGAGTAGGAGATTCCACCTATCTTCGGTGAGCCCTTAGACTATTAGACTTAATTATTAGACCCACTGTCAAAGTCATTCCTATAATGAACCCGTGTTCATACTACACAAGCATTCAAACGACTCCGATATGAGGAACACACAGTCTTCTGCTTGTCCAAACTCTGAACCCGATAAACCCGAAGCCCGTCAACTCTACACTCCGAGCCCTAAGCTCTGCAGCCTCTAAGCCTAAACAGAATCAGAACAGCCGAACCTCTGGATCCCGGAGCTATCTGGGGGTTTCCGAAAATAGGGGACCCTAATATAGTACCCCAAATAGTAGGATCCTTTTATAGGGACCCCCAAAATAAGGTACCCCTATTTTCTGAAACTCCCAAACCCTAAACCCTAAACCCTTTATAGACCCCTTATAGGAACCGTTTAAGGAACCCCTAAAGGATCCCTTTAAAGGAGCCCCCTATTTTCTGAAACTCCCCTCTTCTGTTGACCCATTGAAACCTTTGGCGAGGCCGCCTGCACGAGCGAATCCGGCGGAAGGCGGCAGAGCTGGGGGCTCTCCAGGTCCTCCCCGGAAAGTAAAGTTTTTCTTCTTTTTAAAGCTGGGGTGACTTTGCTTTGTCTGTCTGCCCAGTAAGGGGGTGTAGGGTTTAGGGCTTAGGGCTTAAGGTGAAGTATTAGTATTGCTGTTGTCGATGTTGCTTACTCTGATTGTTGTTGATTCTTCTTGCTCTTGCTTTCTCTTGGAGGGAGTTGGGTGCTTTAGGGGTCGATGAAGATTGCTTAAGGGGTTCTGCGGAAACTTCAACGTTTTCAGGCTCTCTGGATTACAAGCTCCACTGACCTCTTGCAAACCACAGTGTTGCTAGTTAGAACTGCGGCAACTCTCTACTGCGCATCCCCAGACAGCCCAATATCCCTTAGTTAAGGAATATGGCTTAAATTATATAGGGCCTGATATTATGATTTAAGCTATGTTCCTTAATTGAGGGGTATTGGGCTCTCTGGGCAAATGATGATTTGGAAAGTACGGTTCCAACTCGTTTCAGCACGATGTCATGTCCTTTATGATGCCATGTATTACCATCGTCTGATGCCGTACTATGGCAGAACATGACATGACAGGACATGGTTCGTTTTGATGCGGCATGGCATGGTATTTCTGACCATGTCATATCAGACCATCTCATGGCACATCATGCCCCATCGCCATCTCCATCTCCATCATCAACAACAGCATGAACCTCAGGTTGTGGGCAAGGGGTACGCTGGCACTGGGGTCGGCGACGAGAGTGGCATGGTAAAACGGTGACTTTGACAAAGGACATCTTTATCCTTAGACCCCCCCAACTACCCACCATTATACCCCAAATACGCACTACTAAGGGCCATAAGGAATCTATTACATGGCCATTGGGGGGGTCCTGGCTTAGATCCGCAAACAGCAAAACAGCCAAAGACAAACCCTGGGACTTCCTTGGCGAAGGCTTTCGAAATGCTGCGAGGCAAAATTTGTCGGATTGGCAACTCGTGCTACGGTTGATGATATCAATCCTGCATTACCTTAAGGACCCTAAACTATGGGAATGATGGTATATTCCTTGTTCTGGATAATCCAGGATTTATATCATCAACCTATCAACTTAAGGTCAAGGTTCAACTCAAACTGATGTGGCAATAAATAGAACTGAACCACTTCCAAAGTACCACCCAGACTTGTCTTCCAGGTTGGGCTGATGAAGTTCAGCGGTGTTCCGACTTGGGGATTTGCAGTCGAAGTTCCTTGAGTTGAGGGCCTTATGCAGCTTTAGGATGTGCGTGTGAAGAAGGGGATCCTGTGCCGTGAACTTTGGGTGGAGCTTGTCCGGGCGTTCAGGAAGCTCCAGGAACTCTGAACCCCGCAGCATGAGCCCCTAAAACCCCGCCCTCAGCCCTTCATCCGAACCCTACTTAACCCGACACCCTAAGCCTTAAGTGAATCCCAGGCTCTAAACCTTACTAAACACACCCTCAGCTGCACAGCCTGAAACCTTGAACCCTTCAGTCTCAGACCGATCCGACCAACACTGCTACGGTTGATGATATAAATCCTGCATGACCCATTATAGGGAATATACCATCATTCCCGTAGTTTCGGGTGCTCAAGGTAATGCAGAGTTTTATCATCAACAGTATGACTCAAGCTCTGCCCTGTCCTCGCCCTGACCTCGCGGCGGCGAGCGAGGGAATGCTTGGCAAATCGGGGTGGATGAGTAGAGGTTTTTGAATCGTAGCTTCTTAAATTGCAGGGGCTGAGGCCTGTGTTGGTGAGAGACTCCGCTGCGCCAAGTCCCCGAACTCCAAGTTCAAAATCCGAGGTTCGCAGCCATTTTGTTGAGGGCTTTTAGATCTTTTCCAACTACTCGATGCTAGCTAGATGCAATGTACTACAACGAGCCTTGGTGTTACGGGCCTCTTCAGCACCGTCATGTAAATCCGGCTAAGCCTAGCCCACACTACAGGACTCTAAACCCTAACCCAACCGGCTTTTCACTCTTTCAAAGTCACAGTCACGAACTCTGTAGCTGGTGCGAACATTCCGTCGGCGGATGTTGTACAAGAACAAACGCTTTCCTCGACAAGTTTGGATACAGCCTCTTTCGCACGCTTGTCGTCTAGTCTTTCTCCGATCCACGTCCGACATTCTCGATCACTGAAGCAAGGCGCACACCACAATTCAATACAAGGATTGGATGCAGTTCGATACCTGAACAGGTACATGCCCATTTCCCCAGAGTCTTCATGGCTCCTCAGCATCAGCACTTGGTTATCTGCGTTCTGTGTAGCATCTCGACGAGACTGGCATTCCCATAGACTTACCCTTGGTTAGTAGGGAATGGAAGAATGGTAGGAATAGTAGTTATAATTGTACCCCATTCCTCCATTCCCTACTAACCAAAGGTAAGTAGACTGTTGGGGCTTAGGGTTATGGGGTTTCTTCATGTGGGTTTCGGGAACGCCGGCACATTGGAGCTCGGGGTTCTGCGATCTTGAGCTTAGAGCCTAAGCCTAGGGCTTTACGGATTTAGGGAAGCCTCTTGACCCTGGCATGTAGTGGCAAGAACACCCTTCGGAAATCCTTCCGGAATCACTCGGGACCCTCATAACCACTACAGAGCAAAGAACGATGCCCCACCTTCAGACACTTTAGCTGGTAATCATATTCCCTTCTTGTCGGGTCGCCCTGTATTTACAGTACTCATACTCTCCTTCCGCATCTGCCGAATCGTAACACGCACTCCCAGGCCCCGTGCGGGTGAGAACTGGGCCGATGCACTGCAGCCACATCCCAGCTGAATACTTTGCCTGAGCTAACGGGAGGGTTTGGTCACTTCGGCCGGTTTGGGCCGGCAGCATTCTTATGGTTTTCGGATGACCTCGAAATGCCGAGCGACAAAGCAGCAAGCAAGCAGCAAAGTCACCGTCGCCAGTCACCCGAGCTTCTGACAGGCCCCTAAAACCCGCCACCAGCATTTGGTGCGTGGCAGTTCTTACCTAGAGGCTCCATAGAAGTTCTTTTTTGGGGTTCATATGTAGAATCCTAGAAGGTAATCCCAAAAAGGAACTACTACGGAGCTTCTGGGTAACTCTGAAGGATGGCAGTACCTGTGTGTACCGGGATTCTATACGTCTTGCAAGCACATGGCACTGATGTCAAACCCAAAGGGTCCAAAGTACCTTTATAGAAGAATGCAGGGTTTCTACATAAGGAATTACTATTATGATTTGGGGATGTATTCCCCATAACAGTACCTAGGACTCTTTGGGAAACGCAGTTTACTTGACAGCCTGAGCCCAAACAGCGAAATCCTACAGCACCCAAAACCCTGACGGAACACTTTTGGTACCCTGTTTATGGCCTCTTGCAAGTAAGCCCTACACCCTCATTACACCCCACACGACTGAACGGCGGAACCCGCAGACATCAGAAGAGCTGAGCATCCCACATTTGGGCGCTCGGCGGCCGCAGGTGCGTCGAAGGACAACGCCTGGGCGTCTGCCCGGAGCTTCTCAACTTAAGGCCCCAAAGTTTCTGTTTAAAATTCGGGCCCAGTAGTAAGGAACCCCCCCCAAAAAAGGGAAGGCAATGAAGGAGGCCCCTACATCAAGCCTGGCTAAATTGCAACTTATAAGGTACAGCGTTCAAACACCGCAAAGTCGAAGCCAATCACTATGGTGCAACACTTCCCGTTAAAAATCCAAATCCAGATGGAAAGCCCAACCCCCAACCGACGCCTTCACTATTGTCAAAGGGTCCCCTGCCCGGAGAATCCAACATCCCGTGCAGGAGTATTCCTTCTATCATGTGAAAATGATAAGGAACCCTGTCGAACTCAGCACTACAAAAAAAACTGTACGACAACTATCAAAATCAGGCACCACAGCTAAAGAAGCCATCACACCATCTGCGTTAAAAATAACAACCCTAAGCCGAAACGCATAGAGCTGTTTTCGGAGTTTCTGGGGTTTCAACCGCCCGCCTCCTCCGGCCTGTGGAGAGAGCTGGGCTTCGGCGAGGGCGCCGGCGAAGACGACGGCACCTGGGATTCAAAAGGTAGGGTTTAGGGCTTAGGGTCCCTTGCCAGGGCTGTAGTATAGGGGCATCGAAAATTTCTTAGAACACCCCCTGGTGCTTAGTAGGGAATGGGGGAATTGATCCCTATAGTAGTCCCGGGTGTAAGAACTTTTCAGAAAGGATGTTGGGAAGGGATTTGATTAAACTTCATTACTAGCGATCTTCGAAGGCTGCGTGCAGTGGTTTGTGGCACATTGTATGAAGCACGCAGCCACTGGAACAACTTCAATGCCCAAAAGGGCTGTTAAGACTTCTGCTTCGAGTGGTGCCTTGAACGAGTAGCGTGTATGTCGTGAGCTCGCCATGTCTCATGAAACTGTATGTGTATATATATATATAATGTTATATATTATGTTATATATTATATACTGTATGTTACCACCCAGACTTTCGGCTCCCCCTGCGCTCTCCCGCCAGGTAGTTCACAAGAGCTCAATCCTCAAAGCCCAAAACTTTGCTCCCAAGTCCTTCCAACCCTGGCGAAGCCCAAAGCCATGAAAACAAACCACAGATAGCCCTAAAAATGCCCAAATTCTACACTACGCCCCATAAGACCCAGAACCTCAGCCTGGGGCACCCCGGGCACTACGCACGTACATCGGGAGTATCGACAAACGGGGACCCGAATATCAATATAAGGCCCCCCCAAATAATAGGGTCCTCAAACAAGAATGGTCTTAAGAGGACCCTAAAGAAGAGAGGGGACTCCCAACCGCTCCCCGTGTGCACCGGCGAAGACGAGGGTGCCGGTGACGAGGGCGTTGGCGAAGCAGCAGCTATTGCCTGCGCCATGGAGAATCCCGCTTTCCTTCTTCCAGTGTCCTTATTGACTTATCCCTATGCCTCCATAAACCTTGTTATTGGGTCCTTAAGGGGCCTAGGGCCCTAACTATGAGGTCCTTGGAAGGATAGGGTATAGTAGAAGCAGAATATTGAAAATCTACAGTATGGGGCTCCCTATTCCTTCAAGCTCTTGCAGATGAGACACGCAAAAAGTGCGTATTGGGCTTGAACGCTTCGAGCATAGGGTGAAGGCTTCGAGCATAGGGTGTATGGCTTGATGTATCGGCCTTAGTCATTAGCGTAGCAGAGTTGTAGGGTATACTGTAGTATCCGCACAATCAGGACTTGACGGGATCTTATATGATGTTATCATAATCAAGACCTCCAGTCTGGGACACCTGGCCCAGGAAGTTTCAGGGCTTTCCTTGACGTCTTCCTCTCCCGCTGATCTCCTGCTGCTCGTTGGTCTGCTCCTCACATACTCGAGGCAGTTTGTCCATTTAGTCCCCCGCGGAAGTGGGAGTTTCGGAAAATTAGGGGTTCCTTATCTTGGGGCTCATATATAATAAGGATCCTACTATTTACGGTACTATATTAGGGTCCCCTATTTTCGGAAACTCCCAAGTGGGCTAGGGCATGCCTTAGATCCGACCTGCTGGTTTTTTCCAACTCAAGCCCTGAAGGCCCAAACCGCAAGCGCTAAAATGCTGAATCCTGCAGCCATGAACCCCCATAACATCCCTACTTGGAGGTTCATGGCTAGTTATAAGTGGGGTTATAATTAAGGTAACTATGGTTATAACCCCTATTAGGGGACTGACTTATAACCCATTTACTACCCATGAACCTCCAAGTATAGAATAGCTAAAGAACCGTCACAACGCCATCTCCCATTGGTCATCAACACAGCTTGGCCTCGATAGCAGCAGGTCTGAACCTGTTGGTGCAGGTCTTAGGCTTCTATTGAGGCGGGGGTTCCCTTGAAGGCTTGGTTTTCGACTGCTCAGAAGTGGGAAAACTGTTTATTTCGGGGAAACAGGCCTCGGGGCTTTGGGTTTTGGTTCCCAACTCTGATCTTGGTGTTCCGGGTCTCACAAACTTTTTTAAGTGGGATCTCACCAAGACTTGCTTAAGGTTCTTCGGGGTTCAGGGTGCGATCGCTTGAAAAAGCCTGGTCTAGTCCTGGCAGAAGGTACGCAACAAGCTCGTTGAACCGGCAACACCACCCCAAACACATGAAGCCCTTGATACACGTGCGTATAGAAAGTTCTGTCGCAGATTCCTGGCTGCTTCTTTAAGAATCAAAAGTCCAACAACAAACAAACCCTAAACCCTAGCACTGTCGGGTTGAAAGGTTTGGTTAGGGTCTTCCACAGGCCGTGCATTCAGCTCTAAAGTCCCGAGACCCCCAAGTTGCTCCGAATTGGGTGATCCGCACTTCTACCGAGAGGCGCGTTGCAGGGCTTTATAGGGCACAGAAACGGACAAACTAGGAAGGCGTGAGGGCGAATTGGTTCAAGGGTTATTCGGATTCAATGTCCCTTAGCTTTCATTCCAGGCTGGCAAAACTGCCTCTAAGCCATAAGACGAGCAAACAGCCGCTTTCCGTGTCTTCGGTCGTGAGTTCGTAAACCTTGGCAGCCCTACCTTAACCCTAAAGGATGGGTCTTATAGGGTTCAGGTAGGCTCTATACCTTAGATTTCAAAGCCAAAGCCCCAAACCCCACATGACGCCCGGACCCTCCGACTCCCCGCCGACGCCTTTCGGAGCCGTCGGCTGAAACCACGCTCAGCCAGCCTGAACCAGCGGTTTTGGGCTACCTTAGTTAATTTGCCATGCTTACTATCATGCGCCACTACTAGCGCTTTGTAAACCTCTGTTACATTGAACTTGTTGGAGCAATTTGGTCTTGCGTTTGTGTTGGGCGGAGGTTTCGGTCCGAAGGAGTCTGAGCTAACTTCTGGGAACTCATGCTTGATGTGACTTACAGTTTAGGGTTTGGGGGGCTTGTATGCTTGATGTGGCTTGCTTCTTCGGGTGGAGGTGTCAGCATCTCTGGCCGAACAAAGTATTTGGTTTAGGTTGGGTTGCGCAAGTTCTGACGTGGATGGCTTGGGTTGTGTGGTCATAGGCAGGCTTGGTTCGAGTGGCTTTGTTTCCTCCTCGTTATGCAGCCATTCGTTTTCCATAGTGTTATGCTACACTTTCAAAGAAGACGGTTTCGATTCGATGCTTTGCTCTTCCATTTCGGGTTTTTGAGGGCTTTTCGGGTATGGAAGCAATAGTGATAATTAAGTGATTCTACTCAGAACCGAACCACTGAGTCCCCTGATCCGTTACTATATAAGTACGTCTCAACCCTAAGCGCTGCAGAGCCTTTGAAGTCGTTTGCTTCAAGGCTTAGACTTTAGACTTTAGCCCACAAAGTCTCATACGACCCGAACTCGTAGATCTAGTACATGGGAGTTTGGGTTTTCAGGTCTTAATCCTGCTTGTCGGGTATCATGGGGAACTAAAGGTTAACCTTTTTGGTTATATTTAGGGATCATATAGGGACCGTACTACCCCAAAAAGGTTAAAGGTTACCTACTCGACTACTATGCAATAGTCGCCCTTCAAGCCCAGACCCGTCTTCGTTCTGCCTTCCCGCTCGTTCACGTAATCGCGAACTTTCACGCGATCGCCCGCTGACCCGGTACCGATTTCAACCACCTGGTGGGAGGAGTTTGGTTATCTAGAACCCTGAGTAAAAGCACCCCTTTCCTTACGGCTTCTGCGCGGATTTTGATCTTGATCCTTGTGAACGGAGGGGTTTGATTAGTCAGGGGCCGGTGTTGCGGATTCGGGTTTGGCCACAGGGCAGCGTTGAGGGTTTCTCCAGTACACGGGTGATGGTAATCAGAACAGAGGGTTCGGGCGTATTCTGATAGCAGGGACTGGAAAGGACCACATTTTCACACGCCCAGATGGACACAGAGTATCTGTATTAGAATATGGTGTCGGGAGGCACAGAGCCGCAGGGTAAGCTGTGCCGAGCCCGGTGCTTCCCCAAAGCTCCGCAAAAAAAGAGGAGCCCCCAACGCCCCGAGGAAGGGGATTTTGCAACGGTCAGTCTCGAAACCCCAGGTCATCCTAAGGCCATAAACGGCAGGCTCTAGAGATCAGGGCTTTGTGCTATCTGGGGGCTCAGACGCTTTTTCAATAGGGTTTCGGGATGCAGGTTTAGGGCTTCGGGCTTCCGGATACAGTCTGCATATGATGTCTCCTACGGCTGCACGCCCTCTTATAACGCAAAGCATAGGATCCGCAGCGAGAAGATGTATGCAGTGTGCATGTAGATGCAGCACATAGATGTAATCTACTATAGGGTCCTTAATTATTAGAATAGGGTATTGGGGCCCGTTATACTAAAAAAATATAATCAGGATCCCCCGAAATAGCATTCGTAATTTTTTCGGCCCCTATAGTTGCCTGTTTGCTGCGCAATGAGCCCAACCCTGGGCCCCAAAGTAAACCGAAATTAAGTGGGTCCAGAAGCTTTTTCTTCAGCTTGACTGCGCCCATTCATCTAGGTGGACATTCAACAAGATTCGGGTGTGGGGTGGGGTTTAGACACTGCGTGCTTGTCGCGATTATCATAAACGCTTGTATTGCTAGGAGAACAAACAGGGCCATTTACCCCAGTTCGGCAGTGTACCTTAGCCAAGTCTTGTTAACGCCAGCCCCGACAAGGACAACTCTGATTGCGACTGGTGCTGGTGTTAATTAAGCACCCCCCCTCCGGGACTCCCTCCCGTAGGCTTGCCTGCACCGTTGTCTCTGCCGGGAGCTGCCCAAGGATGGAGCTCGATGCGTCCTTCAAAGATCGCGCAGCTTAAACTCCAAGCCCAAAGACGCAACACCTACATCCCCGAAAGCCCTAGTCTGTTTTTCTTGACTCTGTCAGCCGCGAGGCTATCAACCTGAATCGCAAAGCGACGGACATGCCCAGCCCTGACCCATTCTGGTTTAACACCGCCTGGTCGGTGTGAGCTGCAAGGTGGAAACTTGAATTTCCGGAAGCTTCCCTCTGTATGTGGGGTCCAGGCTCGCTGTGCGGCCAAGTGCAGCAGCCACCGCCGGAAGCGGCGTTGGATTTTCCATGCTGCCATGTGGTGCAGCCTGCGCTTTTGCTCAGCTTCATCCTTGGCGAGCCGTGCGCGCTTGGCAGCCTGTTCAGTTTCAGAAGCACCGGTGAGGATCCTGCCGCCGTAGATTGAAGCATCAATGGGCATGGGCACCATGTCGCTCGAGGAAGCAGCCTCTGGGTGCTCTACAACCAAAGCAAACGAAAGTTTGGTGTGAGGGCAAAACATGTCATGGATTTGGGGTTTCGCTCATGGTGTGGGGTCGCGCTTTAAGGCTTGTTTATGTAGGGCGATGCGGCACGATCCCTATGCCCTACACCTTGCATCATACGCCACGATCCCTACACCTCGCATCATCATAAATACAGCTCACCACAGTAAACCCGATCTGAAAACCGAGGCATTGCCGTCTGCCATCTGGACCGACCCCAAATCTCTTATCGCTTAACCTCTGAACTTGAGACAGACCACTACAGCCCCCAACAAATTTTACACTTCCTTCGGGGCTAAGGGCTCAGGTTTAAGATTCTGGGGCTTTTAGCTGGGCTTTTAAGTAACCAGGGAGAAAAAAGTATAAACTTTTATTTCATAAGGGTTCCTTTAAGAAAAAAAGTATTAAAGTATGGTACTCCAAAGCCCAGTTAGGTCAATCATCGCAGTTTAGGGTTTGGGGCTTTAGGGTGCCCATTGCCCCGTTTGAGCTTCTTCTGCACCGATCACGAAACCTTCTATCAATAAACCTACGGGCAATGTGTGCGGTACGGCCCCCACTCAGTAATAGTTGAACAATATTCATAGAATAGATATATTGGGACCTTAATTAGTGGCCCTATTATAGACTCTTACTGTATGGGGGGCCGTACCTAATGCATGCCTAAACTGTCAGATAGAGGTGGGCCGTAAAATCTGTCAAGGCGTCGCCTCAAAGCCACCCAACACGGAAGACCCACAAGAGAGCTCCAACAAACGATACGAACGGATGAACCCAAAGCTCCTGAGCTCCGCATTCCATAAAGCTGAAAGAGGCTGCAAAAATCTTGGAGGGCACACGAGCCTGCTCAATCTCCCGTCGTAAAGACTCAAAACCCTATGCTTTGAAAATCACACCCTGAAGCTATACCTCCTTAGCACCGTAATGAAACAAGTATTTTCAATATTCTCTTGGGTTTTATAAGAACAGAAATGAACAATGATTCCTAAGGAGACTATCCGAACTATGGTAGACCTGTTCTTCCGAGGAAAAGCAAGATCCGAAGTTTCCCGAGCCCGGGATCCTCGTGCTCACCTCGTGGCAGGAGCGAGTTTGCTACTTACCCAAAGGCTCCATGTACCTTTAAAGTAGATACTTAATAAGTCTTAAAGGGGTCCCTATATGGGTTACTTCAAGGCCTAAGTATATACTAGATGGGTACATGGCGCTTAAGGTTACAAGCTACGAGATTGCCACCTCAGGTGCTGAGGGTTAGGGTGCGGGGTTCAGGTCGGGGGGTTGACGGTTCAGGATTCAAAGATGGGACGTCTCTTCCGGCAAATCGTTATGACTCAGGCGAGAAAGGTGCTCACAAAGATGAGAGGGAATCGAGTGACCCCATGTGTCAGAAGCTACATGTAAGCCCCAAATACGAAAAACTCCTCGTTCACATCAATACGGTACCCCAAGTTTCTGAAAGTTTCGACTGTTGTTTTGTGTTACCTTCTTTAGCTGTTCGGCTGCTCAGCTGCACTAGACTGCCATTGACGGACTATGCACCGGTACGTCCACATGAAGGAGGGTTTCTCTTGCACCAATAGTCAATAAGAGCCCTACACAAAATTACAGACATCGCCCTACTGTAAACCCTACTTCACATAGAAATTCGGACAGTTGGTTACTGTGTGCTTCATCGCTTTGGAGCTGGAGTTTGCAGGATTAAAGGGATACTTCTTCTCACTGGTCCCCCTCAACCCTGTATCCTAACACATCTGAAGCCCTGAACGCCGTGGTAAACATCCTACAACCCTAAACATCCTAAACCCCACAACCAGAAGAGCCACAAGAATCCTCAGAAACCAAAATCCTAACTAAAGGCTTCGCACTCAAAGCGGCGTCGAAAGGCTCGGCATACCGTAGGAGCATGACAGTGGCACGAACAAACGTTAGGGAGATTGCCGACGCAGCACTTTCCACGCAAAGCAATCATCAACTGTTGGCAAATGCGAATGGTGGTACGCCTGACCCACCGCCCAGGAGTGCTGGTTGTGGCGAGGGAAAGCCTGCACCAGTGGCTCACCGCACCACCATTTCAACAGGTCCGGGCACTTGCCACTGCACCGTGTTTTGTCGCTGGTGCCAGTAGTACTAGCCTTGCTTGTGGCGAACCGCCACCCATCCCGGTGGAAGGGCCGGTGGCGGGCGGCACTGCCGCACAGAGTGCCTTCGCCGCCTCTGGAAGCGGGGCCAGCGGGCGCCGTACTTTCTGCTTGCCAGCCTTGAACCACAAACGGGGGTCACGGCAGCAAGTGCACGCACGTCCCTGCATACCGGCACCTCCGCGCAGCGTTTGCTGCTTTGTCATCAGAGCGTCTCAGCTGGCATCGCTTGCACTAACGTCTGAAACTCATAGTTACTGAACAACCTAGACCCACAAAACTCCAATCAGCCTAAACACCCCAAAATCCTAAACTCCCAAATTTCCAGACACACCCTCAACCCCAAAGGCCCTACAGACCCTGCTGCAAAAATTCCCCCAAACCCCCCCACAATCCTAAACACCCGAAACGCCACACTCTCAAGCCTCTACACGACCTAACAACCTAAAGCCGAGCGCTCTGAAACATCGTAAAGCCCTCAACAGAACCCTTTCAAAGATCCCCATAGAAACCGTGCAAGAACCCTGACAAAACTTTCGGGAGACTCCAAGGCTAGCGAGGCGTCGGCAAAGCTGCAGGCGCTCGACGCACTCCAGCCACATGCCCATGGAGAGCCTGTCCTTGCCGGGATTTGTTTTTCAGGGGTTTGGGATTTAGGGGTTTAGGTTTAGGGTTTAGGGGTTTAGGGGTTTGAAGGGGTTTAGGGTCTGCCCATGGAGAGCTTGTCCTTGGGGCCGGTCCCCCATCCGCTTTAGGGTTTTGAGGGGTCTTGAAGGGGTTTTCAAGGGATTTGGGGCTCCTGCCTTGCCAGGGTTTGCTTTAAGGCTGTGTTCTACAACTTCTTCGGAGGGAGTTTTCGAGAGCTTCCGGGCTAGCACTAGAATAGCAATAGCAATAGCCATGGGATGGTAACAGTCATAGTCACAGTCATACCTTAAGCTACCAAACCCTACTTTTTTTGTAGGTTCTTATTATAAACGCTAATATTGAAATATAGGACCCTACAAACAGGTAGGTTTTGGGAGGTTAAAGTAGTCATAGGTATGAGGTTCAGAGAGGAAGTCAGCCTCGCTTCTGGATTGGGGTCCAGGGGCTGAGAGGGGGTCTTCAGGGTTAGAGTTTAACCCTGAATAACCTACCGTTTTAGGGTTCCTTGTTATTATGATGTCTTTATATAAGTCCTGAAAAAATGTAGGCTCTTCGGTGTTACGGTAGTGTTTAGGGTTGTGGTTTGCGGTGTTAGGGTGTTAGGGATTACGGGCTTTGGCTTGGAAGTTCAAACTACTGAAGTGCTTAGGTTTGCGAGGTTGGAGGGTTACGGTTGAGGATCGATGAACTACCCCTGAAAGAGATGGAGGCTGGTCAGTTCTCGATTGTACGCAGTCCTGAACACTAAGCCGAGCTCTGCAACGCCTTGACACCTCTAAAACCTGAACGCCACAGCCTAATCTGTCGCACAAATGCACCAAGCAGACTTTAAACCCTGAACCCCTAAACCCCTAAACCCATTGAAGCCCCGAGCCCTGAACCTTTTAACCATGAGCCCGAGAACCCGGACATGATCCAATCCACAGAAACCCGTCAAACGTCCTGAATCGGGAACAAACAGAGCTGCGTTTCGCCCAGATCCACCATGGAAGAACTGACAGAACTCAAACAATTCCTGCTATAGTATAGGGGCCTTAATGATTAGAATAAGGTTTTGGGGCCCATTATACTAAATTTATAGTAAGAACCCCCCAAAATAGCACAGGTAATTATTGAGGCCCCTATAGTACGCTCGACTCGCACCACCTAAGCCCCATGTTACCTAAACCAGGAATCCGACATCCGCGTATCTTAGTACTAGATAATGCAGATCGCCGAACCATCATCCCTGCATGAAGAGAGCCTTGAAGCATAAACCTACAAACAAAGACACCCTCAACCTCACTCCCTGAACTTTGAACAACCAGGGGTTCTCCAAAGTAATACTGATTAGAGGTGGCCGTGTAGGTGATAGTGCAATTATGTAGGGACTGTGTGGGGATATTGCTGCTAACCATTCAGACGTCTTTACAGGGTGCCTCGCAAGGTAATCTTCGTATTTCTAACGAGCACGCATGATAAGACGAACCCTTTCAGCTAAACTTACAAGCCTCTTGAACCGTAAGACATGAGATGCAATGCCCGCGACCATCCCTTGGATGATGCCACAAACAGCAACAACTCCCAAGTCACAGCTCAACAAAAGTCCCAAACCAGTTCAGACCCTGCCATGCTTTACCACAAAAAGGAAAACATAGTCATAGTATCTACTATAGACCCCCATTATGGTAACTTAAGCTAAAGTAGGTTCCTTAAGAAGAACACAGAAACCCCTGCCATGCTTTTCGGTCCGAGTTTCCGTGGCCTTCGGCCGGGGCGGCGCTACCGCCGCCTGTTCGGGGGCAGGAGCCTGGAGCGAAGCTTTGATTCTTTCATTTTAAGGTTTAAACTTTTAGGGCTTCTTTGCAAGGGTTTACGGTTTAGGCTCTTGTTTTCAAAAGGGTTTAGGGTTTAGGGTTTCTTTCAACAGGGTTTAGGGTTTAGGCTTCCTTTCACAAGAGTTTAGGGTTTTGGCCTTCTTTCACAAGGGTTTAAGGTTTAGGGCTTCTTCCAACAATGTTTAGGGTTGAGGGCTTCTTTCAAGACGGTTTAGGGTTTAGGGCTTCTTTCAGAAGGGTTTAGGGTTTAGGGTTTCTTTCAAAAGGGTTTAAGGTTTAGTGTTTCTTCCAACAAGGTTTAGGGTTTAGGGTTTTTTCCAAATAAGTTTAGGGTTTAGGGCTTCTTTCAAAAGTGTTTAGGGTTTAGGGTTTCTTTCAAAAGGGTTTAAGGTTTAGTGTTTCTTCCAACAATGTTTAGGGTTGAGGGTTTTTTCCAAATAAGTTTAGGGTTTAGGGCTTCTTTCAAAAGGGTTTAAGGTTTAGGGCTTCTTTCAAAAGGGTTTAGGGTTTAGGGCTTCTTTCAAAAGGCTTCTTTCAAAAGGGTTTAAGGTTTAGTGTTTCTTCCAACAAGGTTTAGGGTTTAGGGTTTTTTTCCAAATAAGTTTAGGGTTTAGGGCTTCTTTCAAAAGGGTTTAAGGTTTAGTGTTTCTTCCAACAATGTTTAGGGTTGAGGGTTTTTTTCCAAATAAGTTTAGAGTTTAGGGCTTCTTGCAAAAGTGTTTAGGGTTTAGGGTTTCTTTCAAGAGGGTTTAGGGTGAAGGGCTTCTTTCAAAAGGGTTTAGGGTTTAGGGCTTCTTTCAAAAGGGTTGAAGGTTTAGGGTTTCTTCGAAAAAGGGTTTAAGGTTTTCGGGTTTCAGGCTGAACGCTGGCATTTACCCGATGAGTGTACCCTGCCAGAATGATACCTACGGTTGATGACATAAGTCCTGAATTACCTTGAGGACCCTATACTATGGGAATTATGGTATATTCCTTATTATGGATAATGCAGGATTTATATCATCAGCCGTAGGATCCAAGGTGTAGTGCTTGGCTCAGGCTTCTGTGGGGCTTAAGGCCGCGTTCCACACCTGTTTTGGGGTGCAAGGGTAGGTTCAAGAGACTTTTCGCTGCTAGGCCTTTTTAGGCATCATATACTCAAGGAAACATCTTGAAGGTTGCAATTTTGCAGTGTTTGGAACTGGCTCGAGCCTGCAACAACTTGGCTTGGTTGGCAAACTCCAAGTTAGGGTTCCGGTTGACAAGGGCTTATCATGCACACAAAGTTCCAGCAAGAAGCAGCTCGAAGCTGCCAGAAACTACCAGGGTCCGTGCAGGGAGCCTCAGGGAGCCCTTATAGTAGGAAGCGTGGGTTTCTCACTAGGTTCGTGCATTACACTTCAGGACTAGAGCTTGGGGTTTAGGCAGAGCGGCTAAGACATCGGCTGACACCAAACATCTCAAACCAGTCGAACACTATAGAACCCTTGCAGATCACCATAGAACCCTCAAAGAACTGTTCTAGGTCCTTATCGAGCACACGCAGAAGGTGACGCCCATACGAGGTAGGGTTTGCGATCATGAGGCTTTGTGTGAGAGTGTATGTATGGTATGAGACCCCAATTCGTGCGCCTTCTCAGTGTTGGGCGCTGCAACATCCTGCTTCTCCGGCTCCTGGTGGCCGTCTCTTGGGTTTTGCTGGCAAGAATTTCGCTGCCGTTCTAGGCGCTCTAGCAGCAGATGTTGTAACAAAGCGATACAAAGAGCAACAAGTGTCAGATCGGCGGAGTCGGAACAGAAACATGAGCCCACAGTGACTTTGAGGAGGGATGTACTCCCCGTACATATTTAGGCTGTTGTCGTTGTCGCCGTTGTGATTTTCTTGCAATTGTCGGCTGCTGGCTGATTTTGCCGAGGCTGCTGCTGCCTTTGCTTTTACTTTATGTTGCTGCTCTGTGGTGATCAGGGCAGAACATGTTGCCGTGGTCACCATCATCGTGCAACATCGCTGTGCTCATGGATATCAGCACCGTCTGCATCCGATGATCATCATAGTTTTTGAGAAGTGGGCTTAGTGTCCGCCCCTCGAGGTTTGATGTAGGGTAGTGGATAGGCGACTCAAACAAAGAGGCTTGTCAGGGTAATTAAGCAAACGCGACTGGTTCTCTCTGGAGTCTAGGGTTTTGGGTTTATACGGGCATGTGCACGCACGCACACACACCCAATCCTTGACAACCTGGAACGAACAAACATTTCACGTACCCTGAAGCCCTGAGCCCGAAACCCTAAACCTTTACTTAAAATTAACTTCAGTCGCTCCAAGCACCCTGGATGGACAAGTTCATACTCCGATGGTCTAGCTGCAGCGATGCAGACTTCGCGGCTTCCAGAGTTGTGGTTGAACGCCCTCAGCCCAGAATGCCCTGTCGAAACCTGAAATCCCAAAATAAGAACCCTGTAGCAACCCTTCTAGAACCCGTTCAAGCATCCCTAGAGAACCTTAATAGATGTCTTCAGATGGTTAGGGACCTAGTGTCGAAAGTTGGAGGATGACACGTGAGCCCAGAGTGTAACCCCTTCCTTAACCCCGAGTAACCTAACCTGCCTTTTCAAGGACATATGTAAGGAAATCAGAATAGGGAACCCTGAAACGGGTCCAGGTTCATGCCCGGCAGGTCAAAAGAACAAAGGCTTAACTCAAGGTTCTATAGGGGTAATTCGGGGTAGTATGAGGGGAGTAGCATAGGGGGCAATGACAGTTAGAATCGAAAGGATCGTTTACCACAGCGGGAAGAAGGAGCCCGAAAGAATCATGCGACTGATAACATCACGTTTCTAGACCCTCGATCATGAGACATTAATATACCGTAATTTAGAGATGTGATTACAAAGCATCACCGTTTTGGCTTCGAAAGCAGTCCTCAGCACCGTCGAGCTCGTCAAAGTCGAACATCGCCGAGGAGTTTCCCGTATGATAAACTAAAATATGGAAGCTTGATAACGCAAACTAGGGTTGGGCGGCTCTGCAAATTTTAAGCATAGTTGTGACTCCCAATTTCTCCCGAAGCTGTCATAGGGAGTGCGTTCATTGCTGTTTCTCAGACTCTTACCTTCGAATGTGGAGAGGTTGAGGGGTTCGGTCGCCATTGAGGGTTCACGGTGTGGGGGTTGTGCTGTACAGGATGAGTGTCCGAAAAGATCGGGGCTTGAGGTCGAAAGCTTCGGCTTCAAGACGACGGTTTGGATATCAGAGCTTGGGGATTGCCCAAACCCTCCTTAACCCCAAGTAACCTACCTTTTTCAAAACTTCTATAAAGAAATCATGTTAGGGAAGCCCCAAAAGGTAGGTTCTCTAGGCTCCAGGTATATGAACCCTAAACCGGGCTTCGAGTTGGGGGTTAGGATGAGGTTGGTGAGGTTGCATGGTCCTGCCTAAACCCTGGCGCTCTCCGCTCAGGAGCCAAAGCTGATCGATAACAATGATCATCATAACCTGGATCCCCAAAGTATGTAGAATAATAGCCTGTTATTGGTATTGTGCCATCATTTTACCCACTTTGGGGGTTTAGGAATCAGGATAAGACTCATATACCAATTAATCACCCCAATAAGAATAAGACAAATAATTTGTAAATAGTAACAACAATAGTAGGCCGACAGCACTCAGCCTGAAAGAGCAATCCCTCGACCCCCCCCCCTGCTCCGAACGTGAAGTCCTGAGCAACCAGAAGCCCTATTTCCTACAAACCCTAAGCACGCAAGCCAGAGACGCAAGTTCGAAGCGGACTTTCGGGAAGCTGAAACTACCATGCAGTGTCCTCATGGAACTTTAACCTTCAAACAAGCAATTTGGGTAACCCGAGTGCAGCTAAAAGACAGGGCCGACAGAGGCTTCAAATTTGGGAGTTTGGGGCTCAGGGTTTAGGGTTTCGGACCCCTGCATCCCGGACACTAAAGCTCCAGACACACAACACCTAAAATCCTAAAGGCGAAGCCTCCAAACCCAAAACCTGCAAGAAACGGATCTGAGAAAAGCGAGTGCCAGGATAAAGGGGCCTGAACAGCTAGAGTAGGTTTTGTGTTAAAGGCCTCATTGACTTTGACTGGCGGCGGAGGCTGGGGCGCTTACGGGGTTTGGGTTCCGAACTCCATTTTTGGTAGGCGTCTGTGGCGGCCTTGTGGGTTTCGTGCATGTCAGCGGGGCATTTCGAATCTTCCGGGCTTCGGGGGCGTTAATGCCTCTTTTCATGTTGAGATGATGAGGTTGTAGGATTCAGGATCTGCCGGGCTCGCAGTAGAAGATATCGGTAACAAAAGTGTGCGATGCAAACCCGACGGGTTTAAACATGGCACTCGTACTGTGGGCATAAGTGGCTTATGCTTTCGGGCTGCAGGGACCTACATGTTTGCACATCACATGATGTACACGTCCACTGAATCGATAAACTGGTGAAGTGGCAGGAAAATCACTCGCAAACAAATGCTGATGACAACGTTTCGGAATACGGCTCTGAGCGCTGCTAGCTTTTCCGCTTTCTGCGCAGGGTATCCAAACCGAGCCGGTGAAGATGATCCAAGTGGCACCTCAGCGCGCCACCCGCGGGAAACAAAGGGTTCTTTGCCCTTTGCAATCTTTGAGGGTGTCAGTTTAGTGAACACCGGAAAGTTGGAACATGGGTTTAGGATGATTAGTGGCTGGGAATCCCGGTGCCCCGGTGCTGTACTTTCAGGGCATGAGGTCAATGTTCCGCTGCGGTATAGGGTACCACCAAATCAGGAATTCTGCTTTTTAGATCCTTGCAACGGCCCCGGAGTGGGGGTCCCAGCTTGGGCTTCTAGCTGAGATGTGTGCCACCGGAGCCTGAATGCCAGGTGATTGGGGCATGGGATGTAAGACGTCGGACAGGACCTGTAATATTGTAGGCTGCTTCCCAATACTTGGAGGTTCATGGGTAGTTATAAGTGGGGTGATAATGGAAGTAACTATGGTTAGAATCCCTATGAGGGGACTTATAACCCTATGTATAACTACCCATGAACCTCCAAGTATCCCCCTTCAAAAGGTTGGCAAACTTCTCTCATTCTGCACACGTCAGAGCAAGCCCCCCCCCCCCCCCCCCCCCCCCCCCCCCCCTCCCACCCCTCCTCTCAAAAGGGTGTAGTGTCCGAGGCCGCTTCAAAATTGCGCTTGCTGGATGGCCCCTCAACCTCGAACTTTGGAAACCCTCAACCGCCCCACCACGAACCTGCCTCATGGTGTTGGGTGTAGGGTCTCCATGTGGGCACTGTAGAAACCTAAAGCAACACTAGCAAGATATGGGTGAGGCTCTTATCCGGAATAGTGTCTATATCTCAAAACAGGCAAGCCGCGCAGCCACTTGGCATCCTGCACCGTGCAAAGAGCAGGTGACAAGCTATGAGGGGATAGGGGTTGGGATTTTAGGGCATGAAAACCCTCGAGGCTCGCAGGCGACACACAACACACACCACGGAAATGATCCAACAGCTCCAGTTCAAGTCAATTCTGGATGATTTCTGCCACATCATTGTTGGACATGAAGCCCACAAACTCGAAAGCAGGGCCATGACTTGCAAACCCAAACACCCTAAACCCTCACAGCCTTCACTATGAACTACAGGAAATGCTAGGTAGTTCTAAACTGTAAACCTCTGAAATCCCAAGGCTCTAAACCCCCAAAACCCTGCATTGCCCCAAACCCCATAATCCCATAATGCACAAGCCCGACCCCCCAAAATGCTCATCAGCCCAACCCTAACAAAGCAAGCGCAGTATATAACCTCAAATCCTAAACTCCACCCTGCATGGCCCTGACGCCTAAAACCACAACTTGAGGGCTTGGGGTGTACCTAAACCCCCAAAGTAGGTGAAATAATGGCCCAATACCTATAAACGGTTTTTATTCTACATACTTGGGGGGTCCAGGTAGGGTTTCGGCATCCGGGCTGGCCCCAAAGCTCCAAACCCTTTTAACCCCAAACCCTAAACCCCTGCACTCTAAACCCTGAACCCTATTTTAAACCCCAAACCCCCTGAACCCGAAACCCTGAAACCGCCTCGGACCGCTTCTGCAGCAGCGGCAGCATCGGCCACAGCGGCGGCATCCGCGACCGGGAGTTTGAGGAGGAATCGGCCCTCGGCTCTAAGAGACTCGGTTTAGGGTTTAGGGTTGCAGAGCTTAGGGCTTATAGGGTTTTAGGGTTCCAGCGCTTAGGGTTTGTAGAGGGGGTTTTAGGGGCTTAGGGTTTACAGAGTTTAGAGTTTAGGGTCTTAGGGTTTGAGGCTTCCAGCGCATAGGGTTTAGGGTTTACTTTGTTTTCGGAAGGTGCCTCAAGTTCTCCGTTCTCCATGTGGCTTAAGATGTATTCTGTACTTGTTTCGTTATTGGAGTTTCTGGCGGTTGGGTTGAATGGCTTTACTTCGTGTTCGCAGCAGGCCTCCAATGTCGTCGAGAAATGCATACCTTCAATGCTGAGCCCTTCATCCCCGAACGCTGCATCAGGTTTAGCGTTTAGGGGACTCAGAATTTTCGTTTAAGGTTTCGCATCCTTAACCTTCCACCTGAAAATCGGAGATGCCAAGCCCGAACCCTAACCCAGCAGACCCTCCCAATCAAGCTCGCGGCAGCAAGTTGCCATTGCAGCTGCCGTGACCCGGCCTCCCGGAGCTCGGTTCTTTGACCACTTTGAGATTTGAGTGATTGATTACGTATTTAAATTAGGGGTTTAGGTGAAGTCTGCAGGTTCCAAACTACACTCTTCCGGGTATGGCATACCTGAACCTCCCAACACCTACTTTTTTGTAAGGTCCCTGTATTTTCCATATTAGGGGCTATAATAAGAACCTACCAAAAAGTAGGATTTGGTAGTTTAAGGTAGAAGAAATCAAAAAGCTAACTTCAGGCCCTCAGAGCAGAAGATTTAGGACGGCATATGAGCACTCGTGCAACAGAGCCGCCTTTTTCCGATATAGGGTTTAGGGTTTAGGGTTTAGAGTTTAGGGTTTATGGTTTAGGGTTTATACCAGACACAGACACAGGCAGCCACGCATGTATACACATAATGCTGAAAGCGCGCGACGACAACCGTGACAACCACGAACACGACCAGTAGGACCACTAGGACCGCCAACGACAGCTTCTGCCAGGAGACCACAAGGACCCGCAGTGGCCTACGGAAAGAAAAATCAGGGACTCACTGCCTAGATTTGAGGAACACATGCCGCTTCACTTCTATAGATGGAAGGACTTGCGTGCAACCACGCCGGCCATGCACTGACTCTTAAGGACAGCCCTCAGTTGAGGGATGTCTACGGATCCGAAGGAGCGCGATTGAAGCCAAAACCCCCAACACCTAAATCCCGCAGTCCTGAAGCCAATTCTAGATTCAATCCTACAGAGACAAACGGGAGCCGACACCCGCCGAGTCACCTTCAGCGCCGCGGCCGTTCCAAGTGCGCCTGCGAAACTCCGAAACCCGTGAATTGAAGAGTTCTTGTAGGTTTCACATGATGTGAGGGCTGTGTAGGTTTGTACATAGCTGTACATGGAGTTTATGGCTTATGGGCTCCCCCCACAGTTGCTTGTGAATGAACAGAGCTAAGAAGGTACACTATCCAAAGAGCTATGTTAATCTGTCAACAACGAAGAACGACGAAAACCACATGTAAAGAACCACATATTTAAACATAAAGAAACATGTCCAAATTTAAGCATACATACATACACATACACATACACATACACATACACATACACATACACATACATATACATATACATATACATATACATACCCTATGTATATATATATGTATATATACATACATGTTTAGCCAACTTCTGCATCTTCAGTAATTGAAGCCCGAAAGACCTACACTCTGAAGTCGGCAAGCCAAAACATTCTAAGTTCCTAAAACCTGAAACCCGAAACCCTGAAGTCCGAGACCCCCCGAGCCCGCTCTCATATACCCAAAATACCCACCGTTAAGGGCCATAAAGACTCTATTAAAGGGCCCTTGAGGGGTCCTTGTGAAGCCCGTGACCCAGGATCCTAAACCCCGAAGCCTCAGCATACGAATATCGCAAAACACTGAGATTCTCATCCCTCTGACCTCTAACTGGGTCGTGAGCAGACATCGCAAAGTTTCACAAAGTTCCACAAAGCTTATTTAACCACCGGAACCCTACACTTCAAACAGAACCCTGTAGAATGTACAGAGGCCCGTCGAGAACCATAATAAACATACCCATAGGATGCCCGAAAATCGTGTTCTGATTGGTAAGGTCTTTATAAAACACAAATCTTAGCTTCTTGGGTGTGAAATCTGCGCAGAACCCTCAGAATAGCAGAAACCGCAATATGTCCATCGACATCTTCATAGAACCCTATGAAACCTTATAAAGCCCTATTTAACACCCTCCAAAAGTGTATGAAACCTCAAATCTGACCTCTTTATTGCGAGCTGGAACCTGTCCCAACGCGGCAGGCCGTGGCCGCTTCCTGCAGGGCCAAGGCGGCTCTCCAAGCCGAGCCTTCCCAAAACGTAGACGGGTTTCAGAAGGGTGTAGAAGGCTTTGAGGGTGTACATATATATATATATAATATACATATTATACACACATGGAGAAATACATACATACGTAACTACATACATACATACATACATACATACATACATACATACATACATACACACACACACATATATATATATATATATATGTATGTATAACCATATATGTAGTGTGTGTGTATGTATGATGTGTATGCATGTACGGATGTATGTGTATCTGTATGTGTATGTACATATATACACATGCATATATATATATATATTATTGCTATTCTTGCCATTATTGTCATTGTTGTTATGCTCTCATATTACCATCATGATTCTTATTGTTATTAGTACATAGTCTAATCAGTAAAATCTCTCTCTCTCTCTCTATATATATATATATAACACACATACAGATGTCTACCAACCGAGTATGGTGGAGAGTTTAGGGTTGAGGGGTCGTCGTGAGGTACTCACTGCAAGGGCCGAGAGAACAAGACGAAGCAGAATGATGATACTATTAGGCATTGTTGTCCTTGCTGCTATTGTTACAGTTGTTCTTAACACTATCCTACATACCAGCACGTACGACAAACAGTGATGCGCCTGTGCCACAAGCGCCGAGTGCCGCGTTGGCGGCCACAGTGTCCGGCGCACCAAAGCCCAGCAGGCCCAGGGCGCAGGGCCACCTGGTAGGGTTTAGGGGTTCAGTAAGGTTTAAGGCTGAGAAGGGTTCAGGCCTCATTAAGGTTTAGGTTCACTGAGGTTTAGGAATTTCGGGCTGTTAGGGTTTAGGGCTTACTGTAGGGGTTTGGGGGCTCAGAGTGTTTTTTGGCTTCTTATCACAGTGATGTGTGGGGGTAACTTGTAAACGTTTTCTCAACCTGTTGAAAGGGCACGGTACCCTAAGCCCCTTCGGGATGTATACCGCTTCACAGGTTTCCCAAAGCCAATAGTGGACGAGTGGGGCTTTAGGGTCAGGACGTTGGTAGGATCTGGGATCTGTTGGACCTGAATTTAAGTGGAGGGCGCAGTAAGGGGATATCAACACTCAGCAGGTGGGCTTCTGTAATGTGGGGTTACATCGGCTTTGAGGTGTAGGTGTGTGCCAGGTGCAGCAGCACAGATACTTTAGCAAATATTCGCATCCTGAGACCCATGTTGAGTCAAGCCAGCTGAACAAGCAAGGCACGCAGCATCAACAAATGAACAGGTAACACAACGTGGGAGGTCCAGTGCTTGCAAGCCCTCGCCAGAGCCGTACGCAAGGACCCGAAATGCATAAATGTCCGATATACCAGCCCGAAAACCCGCTGTAGCGCGAACCGGTTGGAAATGCTAGGAAACCCAAGCCACAACAAAACAACAAGGGTACCTTACTCTGACCAACCGTTGCTGTCGAGCGTCTGCTGCCCGTTTTGTGCAGCTGTGATAGCCGCGTTCACGGCGAGTTGGCTGACGTCGAGCCGCCTGTCACTGCAAGATACGAGGAGATTCCAACACTCCTTCGGTTCAGGGCTCCATACTCAGGATGCCCATCTTCACCTGAGGGATAGCCGCACCTTCGGTGTTTGGGAATCTAATCTCGTCTTCTACGGTTCCGACGTCTGACGGCACCTGTTAAGCGCGAACTGCATTGACCTACAACTGAAAGAAGAACCCTAAGGTTTGGCACGGTTTTCTGCGGTTCAATGGTTGCGGTTGAAGGTTTTAGAATTTGGGAAAAAAGTATTCAGGTTAGGACGTTTGCGGGACAACGGTTTGCGATTGAAGGTTCAATTCACTGCCTCGGGCTTCTAAACTTGATTCCAGGTTGCAAGGCCGTGGATGACAGGTGGCGGTTTAGTCTGTGCCGCTTGGTGTGTAGAGCTTTGTAAAGCTTGCAGGCTACCAGCCTTTGGAACACTCGGTTCGACTGACTTGGCACTGCCAACTGACCATCTGCAACAGAAATCGTGGAGGTATGTGACACATATTTTCCACAACTCCTTGCCACCCTGACCTCTAAGCCAGAAAATATGAACCCGCAGGACTTCGGGCAAAACCCCATCTAATCCGTAAAGTACACAGCTCTTACTGTAAAATTCCTACAAACCCTAAGGAAGTAAATCTTTAAAATAAAGAAAGAAACATCAGACTTCACCCTACCTCGGGCTCGAAGCTGTCAAGTAAGCCACGGCCGCCGCCCAGCGACCTCAAGCGGAGGGATCTTGACTCAGCGAAATATGATAGTTAGGGTAAGGTTCGGGAGTATACTATGGTAAAAACGAAAAGAACACCCGGGGAGTAGTATAGGCTTTGTAAAGGTTTAATAGGGGTTTGGAAGGGTAGCAAAGGCTTTTTGCATGATTACCTTACAGACTGAAGCTTTGATGGGAGTTCCTTTTTGAGGTGCTTCCATCGTGGCTTCATGTCTCGCAGAAGTGAAACTCGGGTGCAAAAATTCGGGCTTGCGTTTCCGGGAATCTGAAATCCTTCACCCCAGCATTAAACCTGCACCTCGAACTGCCATGAAACACCGAGGTCCCTGAACGCGGCCGTGTAACACTCCCTCTGAAAGTTTACTGCTTAATGAAGAGCTCCACCAGAAATAACAACAAGCACACGCGCGCACAGGAAAGCCAAACTTGCTCCAAATCAAAAAAGGTACAGGGTGTCATTGAAAGTTTCGCATGAACACGCATTGCAAAAACACAGAGCCATGACTGGAAGCAAAATAACCGTCACGGCTGACCTGCGTCATCCCTGAGCATTCTGACCAAGAGAAGGGTCCACCGCTACAGCGAGCTCAAACAAACTTGAACTGCTGCAGAGTTGCCAAGGGGAGCCAAGGCGGCGCACATCGATGCCAAGGCAACCTGTTGCAAATGGGCCAATGGCTTAACATAGCAGTTTTTATGGCATGGTGGCGGGCCTTCAGGCGGGTAGAGAATTCTTTGTGGGTTGTTTTTGTTTTGTGTTTTTTTGCTCCTGGTTATGGCTTTCAGGCCGTTGCCAACTCAAGGCGTCATGGTATTCTCAAAAGGTGATGCAAATCTCCTCTTCGAGGGGGGAAGGCGGGGCGCAGCCTCTCGGGCTAGGGGGCTTGCCGGTTATGTTTGATAGTACGCCTTTCTCCAACTTATATTCTGCTATATATGGTAATACTGCAATGTTTTTCTATATATTGTGATAGTTTGCTACTTTCTGCTAGCTACATGCTGCTATATTTTGTTGTTTTACATATGTTATACCACCTTATATTACACTATGTAATGTAGCATTCCATAGCAGGTACGCAGTAGCTGTGCATTAGACATCTATAACACGCAACTGTATATGTATATATATATATATATACATATAGAAAGAGACATACGTACATCGACAGCATCGACATACCTACCTACGTACATACATACATACAACCATAAACACATACATACCTACATAAAAACATGCATACATACTTGCATACATACACAAATACATGCATGCTAGGATTGTTTATATTTATCTCTTGTCCTATACTAACATTGCTCTCTGTGTATATTATGAGAGGATGCCTAGAGTTGGCAACGGCCTGAAAGCCAGAACAAGGAGCATAAAATACAAAAGGTCAAAACCAAACATGAAGGGTAAACATAAAATATGGTCCCCTTCAGGACACTTGAAATGTCTGCTTCGGATTTTGAAACCTAGACATCTGAACCCTAAACCACAACTTACAACGGGCACTCTCAACTCTTTTCCCAAGCATTCTCTCTCTCTCTCTCTCTCACACACACACACACACGAACGAACTCCATTGCAGCAGCTTTGGCATGCGAGCCACGTCTAATCTAAACCCCCCACTGATTGCCTAAACCATCTTCATCTTCAAAAAACTCCACTTTAAAATAACATATCTTGAAAACCAGATGAACCATGGACGGATTCCCTCCGACACACGAATCCCTGGTCCCACTACCCCAACTGCCACGGTTGCAGGCACCCACAAGTAATCATGTTGGGTTGGGTTTCCTCTATGTTATCTGATATGCCACTGTTGCTGTAGGGCGAAAGCCCAAGCCACCAATCGGCAAACTCCAAATCACCAGTTCCCTCCTCCAAAACTCTAAGGGCCACGACACCCCCCGAAATTCTGAAACCCCAACCCAGCGGAAACCCCTCGATGCCCGAAATGCCTACCTCAATCCCAAGGCTCATGTAAAGGCCGTTAGCATGAAAATACCGTTTCCCTCGCCCCCAAGTGGGGCCATATCCGGGACAATGCCGCAGCCACCGGCCAAGGCCAGAGCCTGGAACCAGAAACCCTAAACCCTAAACCAGATTTTTTTCGTCGCATGAGAAAGGTCGAGGTTTAACATATTGAAGCAACATTTTTCTCATATTGAAGCAACATTTTCTTGACCGGATGAAGGGTTTTGGCATTGCTCGGTTTAAGATAGGGTCTATACAGGCTTGATAGAGACTCTTTTCGGGTTTGATTGGGGTTTTGTGTCTTCATTGTTTGGACTGTAAAGGCTCCTGTCCACAAAACTACGAATGTTGCCACAATCATGGCCAGTGCTGTTTCCATTGATGCTGTTACATTCCAGTCTGTAGTCCTATTCCTCTAAATCTAGCATTGTAGCAGTCTGTTTTTGTCGTTCTACGTTACTATCATGTAACCATTGTCGCTTGCTGCATCGTTCGTGTTGGTGTTTCTATATCTCTATCATGAAAATGACATGTTTCTGCACCTGTGCCCTTGCGGTAACGTTTCCCGTTAGTAGCAATGTCAGTCCACCAAGTCGCCGCAAACTTTCCGTATGGTTAATCTTCCGCTGACATGTATTGTGCTTATGGCATTCATTAGCCACAGCAATGAACCCCAGGAATAGCATTGGCAATTAAGCTTCCAACCCCTACACTATAGTTCTTGTGGTTCTTTGTATTCACAAAATTTCAGGTTTTGCTTCGGGGGACGTGGGGTTTAGATGGGGTTTCCGAAAATAGGGACCCTAATATAGTATCCTAAATAGTAGGATCCGTATTATAAGGACACCAAAATGAGGTATCCCTATTTTCGGAAACTCCCAGATTTGTACTCGTATCTCTCATGAACCCCCCCGTGAACTCTGCAAACTCTTTAGACTGAGCCGCTAGAAACACACACCAAACCGAAATCTGATGAAGCTCCAGTACCTTAACCTCCCAAAACCTACTTTTTTGTAAAGTCCCTATATTTTCCATATTAGGGGTTATAATAAGAACCTACCAAAAAGTAGGGTTTGGTAGTTTAAGGTACAACCCAACACTGCATGACACAGTTCGAGGGCCTCTTCCCATGCACCGCAGCGTGCAGCAGCGGCCACAGCTGCATTGCGGCTGAAGCCGTCGACCACCACCTGGGCAAGGGTTGATTCTATATCTTTTCTTGTTTGAACGGTTTTGTAAAGGTTCTAGAAGGGGTGCACCATGGCTCTAGCAGGTTCTATCAGGGTTGTGTACGCATTATATAGCCAAGCCACCCTCACTCCCCCAGCGCAGCCCCCGTCACCGAAACGGCCCCGTTTCAGGCTTCTGCTGTACGAAAGCCCGTCACACGGAACGCGCGCGTTTCTGCCACGTTCGAGGCGTATGTGCGCAATGCCCGAAACGCTCCTTAGCCACCTCGTCGTGCCTGTTTCTCCCGACTATGACTCGATGACAACTCCGTGCACAAGCAAACAACACTGGAAATATCAGTGTCATTCCGCTCTCTCCGACAGCGTAAAATTCAATCGAAGACTCAAACATTTTGAACATAGCCGTCGATTTGGCTTCTGCCCCCGCCGAGTCGCGACACGCAGCTCTCCCCCGACCCGGCCCTGTCAAAGCTATCCTACCTTCCAAAGCGTCGGGTGGGGCTGATGCTATGGAAGATTGTAACTTGAGCCGGAAGGAACCGAAAACCCCCAAAGTCCATGATAGTAGCTTTCCTGTAGAACCTGCAAACTCGCTCACCGCAACAAAAAAATAGACGGTTGAGCAATGGCCTTTCTTGCTGTGAGGCGTCATGTCCAACGTGCTGATCCGGCTGTTCTCCAAACTATGGCAAACAAAGAATACATGTGATCGTACCACCGGCAACACAAAACGCCACTGCAGAATTCAGAAAACAACAAACCATGTGCATTGAAGACAATCTCAGAACCTCAGATGCCCTAAACCCTAAAGTCTATGCAAGGGACTATCATGGCGCCTGGCCCAACCTGTCGCAGAGCCTAACATGTCGAAATTCTACCCTGTAACAGTGTCCGAAAGCTGCCTCAAGCATCCTGAGGCAGCATAGAAGGGAGAGGCTTGCATGCCTGCAGCACAGACAGGATGGTCTTCCTTCAGGCTGCAGATTGAACAGTGAGTGTATGAGGGGGTTTCTCCGACAAAGTCAAGATTCGTCCTGGGCTTGAAGAAACCCTCGACCCGAAGCCTTAAGGCTTATGATTCCTTTATAGTACCCTTATAGTACCTTTAAAAGTACCCTAGATGAGTAAACCCTAACAGGAAGTTGGAGCTTCGGATCGCAGCTCCTCGATCCCATGCCTGCAACCTTAATGTGTGGGCTTTAAAAATTCGAATAGGGTTTTGGGCTCCATTGCAGAGTTGTAATAAGGGGCCCTAAGGAATAATATTGGTGATTGTTTAAGCTTCTATAGTAGTTCAACAGGAACCGGAAGCCCTTGAATCCGACTCGCGGCTCCGAAACCACCAAAATCTCCAAGCTTAAACCCTATAAAACCTAAACCCAAAATCCCCAAGCCTAAGGCCTCATAAAGAATGGAGACTCCGGGTCAGGGCTTTGGGTACTGGGAGAATCTTTCGCCTAGGGTTCCAGATTCTGTTGGGCTCCGGGTGTGGCCAGAAAGAAGGCTTAGGCTTTCAGGGTTCGGAGATGCCTCTCCACAGGAGCACAGTCTTCGGCAGCCGAAGAATATAGAGGTCTCAAGAATTAGCCGCATTTTGTAAGCGCTACACGCTACATCCACCAAACCATGTTCTACAGCTACCAGAAATCGCCGAAGCCCACATCTAGTTGTCCATGGAGCCTTCACGAACCCCAAAACAAGGCTTCGGGTTTCGGGTTCAGGATGTGAATTGTAGGATAATGTAGGCTGACTACTTGGAGGTTCATCGGTAGTTATAAATGGGGTTATAAGTCCCCTAATAGGGGTTATAACCATAGTTTCCCTAACTACAACCCCCCGTATAACTAGCCATGAACCTCCAAGTAGGGCTTCAGGTTTAAACCATGCGACTCGCTTCTCGATCTCTCTCCTTCGAATCTTGGACGCTTTGGGGCGTGTGGTCTGTCCGTTGGCCCAATGGGTGGTTGTCAAAATTATGGTCCCTTTTTGGGTCCTTATTATAGTACGGCACCTAATATTTAGGGTGCCCAAAAAGGGGCCCAACATTTTGACAACCAGCCCAATACCCTGCGCCCTAAAGGCTGCACTTGAAACTGCGCTCTTGTTACGGAAACAGATTCAGTTTCTATAATTAGGACAGCAGGCTATTTCCATACCCTAAACCCTAAACCCTTCAATCCCTCAAGAAAAGTGCAGAAGTCGCAGGACAGATAGAACTTTTAGTCGCTGTCCTACTCAGCGAAGGGCAAGAATCTGCAGTCTTGAACCGGGCAATCGGAGTTTCGCTGTGCTTACTGCCTCCAATCAAAACTCTAAACCCCGATGGCATGGCTTGTCGACATTGCCATAGGGATCCCTCCATGGTTACGGGTCCAAACCCCAAAACCCTGAAACCCGGATCGTAGTCCGTTTTCGTACACTCTTTATAGGGTAGCCCCCTGCAGAAAGGTTGTTTAGGATTCTGCGACGCGAGGGCGGCACCACAGCCCCATTTGGATGAACACGCTGGCAAAGGCGCAGGCCGCCACGGCGTCCTCAACATGCAGTAGCATGGGGGCTTTAGCAATTAGCCCACGGTTTTGGGGTATCTCATTGACTCCTATAGCTATGCAAGACACTATAATAAGGGGCTCTTATTTCAAATTATTCCGACCCCGAGATGAGCCTAGGCTCGATACCTCCACAAAATCTAAAACCCCCAAGTCGCACGGCCTATTCAAGCCTCCTTACTGGTACGTGTAAAATGCGCCTCAAAAGGCGTCTCAATCATTGGAGTGGGTTGTTGGGGTGTAGAGTTCTATGCAGGGCATCCAGGGAAGATATGGGAGTTTCCGAAAATTAGGGGTCGCCTCATCATTTAGGCGTCCTTATAGTAAGGATCCTACTATTTAGGGTACTAGAATAGGGGCCCCTATTTTCGGAAACTTCCATAGTGCTACTAGCCATTCAGACGTCGTCCGTGGGCGTTGGAAGTGGCAACTTCGATCTATCTTCTCTGTCCTATAGTACCTCTCATGGCATCCGCTGATTGGGTCGGATGTTGAGCCTACATGGGAGTCTAATTCGAAAAGGGCCTTGGGACATACTTCTGTGCAGGAGCCGTTGTTGCAGTATTTAAGTTATTGACTGCTCATCTTACAGGAACCCCGATCCGTGCGGGCCTGAATAGTAGGAATCGCACCAAACACCCGTCAAGCAAGCTCTCCCTGACGCAGATGCACCAATAAAGCTGCAGAAAGAACCCCCCCCTTTTTGCCTTCAACACTTCCGCAATCACCCCTTTCAACACAGAACAGGCCAGGTCGCAAGTACAGCGCTTCGGATCGCCACCTCGGCGCCCACAAGAAGTGCATCGAGAAGCCCTGCATTAAAGGAAGCCCCTTTGCAGTAAGGTTTAGGGTTCAGGGTTTCAGTTCTGGGGCTCAGGTTTTAGGGATTTTAGGGCTTCCGTACTAGGCTTTAGGGTCTTAGGGTTTCAGGATCAGGGTTGAGGGTTTTTGGGATTAAAGTATGAAGCCAGGTAGATGAAGCATTCCTAAAATGACCACCTTCACAGGGTGGCCCGTAAAACACTTTCGACAAAGACTCATACATGAGATCGTCTTCGACCTGATAAAGGGAAAGTACAAAATGTCGATAACCTTCAGAGAACCCGTGTAGCACTCGCGCGGGACCCTTCATGAAAGAACCTTTGTTTTAGGTCTCATCATAGAACTGAAACGCAAAGCCTTAAACCCTGAGATCATGGAGGAGAATATAGGGGCCTTGATTCCTCAAAGATTAGAATATTTGTGGGGTCCATTAAACTATAACTACAATAAGGAACCCCCAAAACACTACGAGAATCATTATAACGCCCCTGCATGAATTACCACATCAAGTGCTGCAGGAGCGTCGGAGGCCAAAGCCAAACTTCGTTGCCAGGGGGCACTGCTCTCGGATGCCTGCGGAGGCACGGGTCTCACGAAGATAGTATAAAGCTACGGCCTTAATACTTGGAAGAGCGTGTTTCGGGTATACAAGAGTATATAGTTCTTTAGAAAAAGGAGGCCTTGGTAACTGCTCAGGCTTCTATAGCATCAGGCCTTTGCGGGGATGCTGGTAGGGTTTTCGTAGAAGTTTCGACGAGTCTGATGTGGTGGCTTAGGGTTGTGTTAAAAGCTTCTTACGGGCTGCATGCATTCTGCATAACAAGGCTTTATACGGCATACTTGAAGAACCTTACTAACTCAGTCTCGTCGTAGCTGTGAAGATCATCAACTAAACGGTTTGGGAGTATAGAGTTTGGGGATGTTCTCCGATCAGGTGTGGCAGGTCAGGCAGGCCGGCTTCGAGGCAATGCAGAAATCGGAAGACACATGCATCCCCAAAAAAGACTTGGGCACACAAATCTTACAATTCAATTTCTTTGCACTCCTACACAGCGGTTGCAACAGCCAGGATACTTTGTTGAACTTTGTGGCTTCGTGCAAAACCCGGCCACGCCAGCCCACGGACCCCATGCCCGAACGATGGAGATGCGCCCGTTTTCCGAATGCAACCGGCTGCCAGAATCGTACAACGAATGATACGAGAAACATCCAACGTCCCCATACCAGATTCCCAACTAATCCAATCCGTTTTATTCAGGAATGTACTTTAAATCATACTGAGGAAAGCTATACCGTTTAAGGTATGCTGCCAACTAAAGGGTTTTCTAATTTATGGGTCATGGCCCCCCGAAACCCCAAACCCAAAAGCCTATACTCAAGCTGCAACTTGGTGGCACCCAGTAAAGAAGCGCTCAACGCCGGCATACTTCGGAGCAAGCGGCAATGCTGGCATAGAGCTGTGGTGGGATGCATGCGGAGGCTCTGGGATTAAGGTCCCCTTCGGGATCCCTTAGATAAGATGCCATTCTTAAAGACAAGGGTCCTCTTCCTTCAGGACCCTGATTGACGGGATCCCGCCAAATGAGGGATTTTGGAGTCAATTGGAGTAAGTCGATTGCCAGGCTTCGGTATCGGAACTGACGGATATTTCTTGGGTGTTTGAGCAAGTATCTTCTCCGGCAGCGAAACCATGTGCGTTTTGCGCAATCTATGCAATCAGCTGCAATCATATATTCTGTCCCAGGATTTCGATGAAGAACGAATGGTTCCGCCGGACGTTCTCAGCAACGGCTCCCTGCGAAAAGGATTGCTTATCCAAGCCCAAGTTCAGGTCTTTTCAGCTACATCTGGCACCGGTTTAGGATAGATTCGTGCAAGAGCTCCCATGCACCTGAAATTAGCAACGCTCTCGGCCTTACTAAAGCACGGTTCCAAAACTATTTCATTCATGACAACATGAACCCTATGGGTCCTTGATACCGATGTGACAAGTACTATGAACACATATGAGGAAGACAACGCGGCAAACACCACCGACCTCATAAATGCTTTGTTCCGCAATATCTGTATTTTTGAAACTGTTGGAAAAGCTTTCTAAAGTTCCTGGCCAGCCGCGAAGGGGACGGGGCCTTGCCCGGACCGGAGATTTGATGGCAATCGGCGGAATCAGAAAACAACATAAAGCTTGTGGGCAACCACGGAAATCTTGGGTTGTTGCACATGTTTTGTTTACTAGACCCCGCTGACGTTCCTGATCTCGGCCAGTGGCGAGCGGGCACTGCCCGGACAGGAACTCTGCTGGCAAGCGGTACAAAGGATGGTGGTTATGTCATCTTCTTCTGCTAAATTCCAAACACACAAAACAAACACCACCCACAATAAAATCTGAAACCTATCTGAAAACTCAAAGCATCATAGAAAATACCATCCATGAATATTTTGGGCTTGATCAACCAATTTACTCAACAGCTTCTAAACCGAAACCCAGTAGGCTTTGCACTTGCACCTGCATTTCTTCCAGCAGCGCGGCCGCCCCCACCCAGCGCCCGCAGCTGGCAAGGGCGCTAACAGAAGCACCGTAGCCTGGAGTGTCTCTGTGTCATCTGTGGCAAAGGATGGGTGGGTGGCGTTGGGAAGGTGCAGGGTGAGGGTGATACTTCCTGTTTTTTATCGCAACAAAAGCTTCCGGTTCAGGGTTGTCTTGTTGCTTCGGCCGCTTGACAATACCTGAGTATCCAGAGCACTCACAACATGGGCAACATTGGGGCGAGGCTTAATCTATCTCGTTGCGCAGTCAAGCTGCTGTTCTCATTCGGTGACAACTGCATGTTTGGCATTCGTCTCCTCACAGAAGATGCGCGCGAATTTCGCAAAGCCCACATCACAGGGTATCTAGTCACGTCGATACTTGGAACCACGTCTTGGGGTATGCGCTGAATACATTTTACTGAAAGCATGTATACAAGCTACAAGGACATACGAATACGAAATATTCAGAGTCTCAATTTTCAACCAATAGGAAATATCGGAGCCCGAAGCCTTAGGAATTGAAGCCGCAAACACAAATATCCTTCCAACCAAGACCTTTGCTTGTCAAAGACTCCAGCACTTGTAGAACTCCTTCCAGACGCTTCATATCCCGGATCCGTGAAATGCCGTGCAGTGCTCCCAATCCCACAAAACCCAGTCACTAAAATAACGCCATCCCAGCCTAGAATCCCTAAACATTGAACCCGAAAACCGATAGAGGCCCCACTGGACACGCTCTGACACGGTACACCTGGGCCGCTACAGGACTCCTTTCCGGGGCTCAACAAGGGCTCACACCCCGCATGAACCCCTGTTGTCCTTAACATACATTCCTACAATAGGGACCCTGAAACCCTAAACCCTGAGCCCTAGCTGAACCCCAAACACTTATAAACCCTAAATCCATAGCCAAAAACCCTAAGCTCTAAACCTTTAAGCCCTGAAGCCCTAAACCCCCTCCACAGAACCCTTATAGATCCCTTTAAAGGAATCCCTATAGATCCCGTTAAAGGCACCCTAAATCCTACTTGCCTGGTATCATGGGGAACTAAGGTTAACCTTTTTGGTTATATAGGGGTTATATAGGGACTATACTACCCACAAAAAGTTAAAGGTTGCCCACTCTACTACTGGGAAACCCGAACAGAACCCTGTAAAGAACCCTTATAGATCCCTTTAAAGGAATCCTTATAGATCCCTTTAAAGGAACCCTACAGACCCTAAAGAACCCTAGACCCTAAACCCCTAGAACCCGAAAACCCTAAAACCCTAAACCCTGAACCCTAAACCCTAAACCCTGAACCCTAATCCCTAAACCCTAAAACCCTAAAACCCTAAACCCTAAAACCCTATTAAAGAACCCGAAAACCCTAAAGAACCCTAAAACCCTAAACCCCAAAACCCTAAAATGGCCCTAAAAGCCTTCGGGAGCGACCTCTCACCGAGACAAGTCGGATGACAGCGAGCCGAAATGCTGACACAGACTCGACTCAAATAATTCTCGTCCAGAGAACTGCTGCCAATGAGCCTGTCGCACTTGCAATATCTTTGTCTTATCTTAACGAACGTGCCTGTTGTCTATTCTCTCGACATCACGGGGATGATATCCGCACCGTGCGACCTCTCGAAACATGCTTCTATAGGATCTGCTCCTTCGCATCATCGTTCTAGTTGGGGTCGTCATCTCTGGAACGTTTCCGCATGCATCGCTGAGGCAGCCAGCTACCCGAAAGACGGAAATGAGGACTTTGCATCCCCTCCGCATTCGCTACTACGCCAAGAAGAAGTCTACATACAATCGGGCCCTGTCCTATGAGGGTATCATATTCCGCGGACGCCCCTTCTAGGCAGATCACGATAGAACCTTGTAGCCATCTGGCTACGTACTCGATGACAGGACCTTCTGGGAGATTGCAGCTCGACAGACCTTCGACGAGATCGTAGCGAGCGTCCTCAGCACACATCGCTCCGACGATTTGGCGGAGGCGGTTGCAGGCCGTCAACAACTCGCTATCCTCATGCTGGCTGACCATGAAGCCGTGCCTATCTTGTGGCAACTCTCGGAGCCGTGCCACATCACGTGCCGCCACTGCGCACGAAAAAAGACAGTGGCCGTCCGGAGGGACGACTAGAATCTCAAGCTCGTGCATTGCAGGCGGTCCCGCGTGGCCGCGACGATTTACCTCCTCTGCCGTGGCGGGTACCCCGTGTGCCACAATCTTGCATCAGGCCTCAGTGCACGCGGATACTGCGGGTAAGCATGCCATCGCGAAGTTCTGTATTGGGGTCGCTGCGCTTCGCTTTCCAAACCAAGGTCACGCGGCGCGACGTAAAGCCTCAGAATCGGCGCATATGCGGGACGCCGGTTAGCTTTTCAGGACGCGCGCTTCCCGACGGAGTCCCGGGACCCATGAGGCTCGCGCTGCGGCAGACCCAGCGAAACGCATGAGGAGGATGTAGAGAGCGACGACGACGACGGCGAGGATTCCAAGCTTGTGCATACGGCAGAGAAGCGAAGCATCTGACTTTAGGCGTAACTCTCAAGCCGTGAGGCTGCGCCGATGATGCGCTGGCCGCGATCTGCCTGCTATCGCACGGCGCGCAGCACCAGTGAGAATCGTCATGTGAGCTCGGGACGATAGCATCTGGATCCGTTGCTCCAACCGAGGGTCAACATGACCCTCTCGCTCCGCCACCTCTCGCAGAGCCTGAGCAAAATATTCTTGCCATGACTCGTCGCAGGGGCCGGAGCGCCTGTAGCAAGGTTTCCTGTTCGACCGCCGTAAGGGTCGCGCAAACCAGCCTGGGCACCGGCTTCAGGCACGTCCCTAAACTGGACGACCGAGCACACGACGTCTGCAGGACGGAAAGAAGCAGGAGGATTGCCATGTCGTCCAAAGCCTCGGCAACATGCTGATATAAATTTCCACGACGCCCTTGCAACGACATTCATGGAGCATGCTTCCATGTGTGCCTCATGCGTGCCGCGACCTGCGGATGACTGCGCCCGCACAGAACAAGAGCACAGAAGAACCCCCACTGTTATTGAGACTATCACTGTTGTTAATTCGATCAGCATACCGAGGCCGTCATGCACGAGAATCCGAAGAACTATCATGGACTACGCTGATAAGTTCCCTAGCGGCTGCGGTCGGCGAACGACGGATAGATGCTGCTGTCATCGCTGTCGGAGACTGCGGTCGTTCTTTTTGCTGCAGCGGGATCGCAGACGCGGAAAGCATCGATGCGAGTGCATCCTGTCACGGGGGCTCGGCCCGCACCGTGACGCTCGGCGACCAAACATTTCCGCTTTGGATTGGCGAAGCCGAAGAGTTCGATTGGCGATGCAGTGATGCCCTTCTAGGTGTCCTCAGTCCTTTGCACTGTCCATTCCCTTGTCCGCCTTGTCCTGCTCGACCTCGGCGAGATCCTCCTTGTCCGTCGGGCTCTTCCTCTCTGGCTTCTCGGGTTCTGCATCGGACTCCTCCGTCGCGGCCTTTTTCTTCTTCAGCTTCTTGTCTTTCTTGGCCGCCTTTGCTTTCTTGATCTTCTTGCGTTTCTTGCCCGAGGAATCCGTAGAGCTCGAATTCGAAGACGGCTTCCGTTTGCGATTCGACATACTTGAAACGCCCCATGCTCCATCCTCATCTTCGCTGTCGCCGCCCCATACGCTGCCCTGCGCCCGCTGCCAGGCTGCCTCCTCGACGTGGCGCTGTGCGATGGCGGACTCGAGAAATCGGATAAGCAAGTCTCGATTCTTGGGTGCATTCTGCCAAGCTGTTAGCGAGCTCTCCGTGTTCACGGTCGTGGGGATCTTCGACGACCAGTCGGCCAGGGCATTCGTGAGTGTCGCCGCTTCTAACATCTGGCAGCAACCTAGATACAAGGTGCTCGAGAATGGTAGCAGCTCCGGCAGGGTCTGGACCAATGTCGCCTTATTCTCCCTGAAGAAATCCAACCACTCCGTCACCGCCACGTGAAGCTGATCCAGCGGCACTCGTGCGACGCGATCCCGGGAGAGCACCTCCTGCGCACTCTTGAAGGCCTGGCCGGCGGTGCCGGTGAGCAACTTCGTGAGCTTGCGGAGGTTCGCGGATGCTGCATCGGCCTCTCCGGCATCTTGAATTGTGCGCAGCAAAGCCTGCGAGGCACACACACTGCTGCCGATGGTTGTCAGGCCCACTGGGGGACGGCGGCAGAGCTCGCTGTTCTTCGCATCCAACATGCCTCGCATGGCCTCTTTGCTGAACGTCTCCCTGCCGGCACCTGACGAGTAAGTCGCATTGCCTTTGTCGTCGCAATAAGGACAAGAACTGATTTCGCAAATGCGTAACGCCCTTCTAACCGAGGACCGTATTCTTTTCCGGTTCCTTTCTGCCTCTCTCCTGGCCAGTTGCCGCCCTTGCCCTTCTGATCCCAGGAAGTCTAGGAGCCTTGCTCTTGTGTGCCGCCCCAGTGATCGGCCTCAGAGGCGCCTCCCCAATTCGAAGAGGCGGCGTTCCATGTAGCGCCCTTCCCTTCCAACTCGTGCTCTTGCCTTTGGTCCCACCCTTCGCGGGCCAGCTGCCTTTGCCCCACATCGCGCCTCGGACGGAGCCGACCTAGACAACAACGAGCCGAATTGCTGACGCGGACCTGGCGCTAAACGAAGCCGCGCTGGCATGGGACTTGCACTCCTTGCTCTGTTGTTTTAACAGGCCTCGAGTTGTCTGCCTCTCGGTCGTCTCACGGGGATGCTGCCCGCACCGTGCGACCCGTCTGCACATGCCTCTACGGGATCTCGGCCTCGATGTATATGATGAGCCAAGTCATTGGTACCTACGGCAATGCGACGCGGCCGACCTCACCGCTAGTTCCCGTGAAGCGGCCTCGATGTCTATGATGAACCATGTCATTGGTACCTGTACGGCAATGCGACAGGGCCGATCTCACTGCTAGATCCCGCGAAGCGCCTGCCAGACGTAGAAGATGGTGGGGACTACCTCCCGCAACGATCTGGGAAGATTCCGCCCCTCCTCCCCTCATTGATATTCTCCTCTGCAAACCTGCTCACGCGGTCCGCGTCCGCCTGCGCGTCGGCCTCTAGGCCGCGACCAGCAGCAGAGGCCTGCAGAACCGCAGCACAGGGGTGGATGCAGAGATGCACGGATGTTACATGTGGACGGCTGAGACGGCCAACCGTCGTAGTCACCGTAGCAGTGGAGCTCTGGTTTACACCAACCTCGTGCGTGCGTGCGGTGACTGGCTACACAATGCATCCCATGAAACTAGTGTCTCCTCCTCATCAGTGTCCACGTGCTCGTATTGCATGAGAG